TTGATGACCAGCCATCTTTGATTGCTAATCATGAAAGAGAACAAAACTTGAATCCGCAATTTGTTGCCGTGAAGCCAAGAAAAACTGCAGATCCTTCCAAAGCAATCGCAGCTGAGGTTGAGGAAGATGATGGAGGTTCAAGTGCAACTGATGACGATTCAGGTTCTAAGTTATTTTCATGTCCAGAAGAAGGGTGCACAATGTCCTTTCAAAGGTATTCCAGTTTAGAACAACACATTCAGTGTGGTAAGCATAAAAGGGCATTGGAGCATGAAACGCTTCTCAACAGAGCAATGTTAACGTATACCTTTGCTCTTGAAAAGCCTGGGGTATCAAACATTGTAAAACCAGCCAAAGAGGGTTTTGTGACAAGAGAACACAGTTCAGATGCTCCGGGTTTCTCGTCATACATGGGGTGGGCTCTTAAAAGTTCCTTCTCCTGGAGCACTAGATTTAATTCCAGTCAGAAGGATTACCTTATAAAGAAATTTGAAATAAAGAGAAAAAACCGGAAGGAAACTCGATCCTGGAACTGTTGCTAAAGATATGAGAGCTGCTAAAGATCCTAACGGCAAGCGTTTGTTCAATTGCAATGAACTCCTAACCAGTCAACGAATCCAGAGCTTCTTTTCAAGATTAGCATCTAAACAAACTGTTGATGTCGTAACTGAAGAGGATAAAGAAGAAGAATGCAGCGTTCACCAGGAGGAAGTGCTGAGTAGATTGAGAAATGAGGTATCTGGTGCAGTAACCATGCCGCATCCAATCATGTTTGATACATAACTCAAAAGTACCTTTTCTGTATCGGTTTTGCGCGATATCTGCCTCGCTCTTGGTATAGATGTCTCCCAAATCATGGTCAAACGAAAGCAGCCATACATCTATGCCCTTCTAGAACTAGTAAGCACATGCACCTGCTCGAGTGGACAGGTCAGTCCAACTCTAAAATAAACAATTATTCAGTGAATGACATCATCTGGAAGAAAGATGCTCTAGGCACGTTTAACATTGGCTCAGAACACCTGGATTTTGTCTTGGTATTGACTGAAGTTTGTTTGTTTGTATATTTTGTTATTATCTATCTTTCCTAATTATCGGAGGAGTGTGTGGGGAGCAGAAGGGTGAAAAATTGTCAAATTTCAGGGGCAAGAGAACTGATAATGCCGAGGTCGAAACCCTAGCAAGAAGTTTCTCATCAGAGCGCCAACCCACAACATAGAAATGCTGTAAAACACCTAGCCATATGTTGCAAAGAAATCCACCCTTTTAAATCGTTGAAAGAAAGAACATCGCAAAACATGGACTTTAGGAAGATTATATGCTGCTAATAACACAAACAAGGGAAAAAGCGAAATCAATTCAAAAGACAACGAGCAGGCGTAATGCACCTATCAATGTTAACAAGCTGGCAGTGCGGGTGGGGAGGGGGAGCGAGGCATGGGGTGGGGATTTCACATTTTTCAAAAATTTGCCGTGAAATTCCCTACCCACAGGCAAATCATTCCAGTCAAATGTAACCAAATTTCCCCACCCTGGGCTGCACCGTGCTGTCAAATAATGCACGGCTGGACCCAGTGGGACAATAAAAATATCTCAGTCCAAATAAAACTCTACAATATTTTTCTTAAAATGTTGCTGCATCACCAAAGATACATATTCCTGTTGCAATTATACGTTTTAACCATTCGATCGGTGTTACACTGCGTAGAATACAGAAACCTTTAGGAGAAAGTCCATATTTTGTAAGTTTTAATATACCGTTTGTACCGAATGAGCCATACACTGATCAATTGTACTGGTCAAAATTCCCTGTTTCTCTTTACTTCCGTTTACCCTGATACCGCAGTATCTTAAAAGGATCAATTGATCAAAGAAACGCTAACACAAACGAAATCTTAAGACAAAACAGTGAAATCCACTCGTCGCCATTTTTTTGCTTGTGGACCCAATTCCAACTCTGCTCACTGTAAGTATTTCAATCGATCGTCTGCATAGAGGAGAGACTACGAAGAATTGAACAAAAGTCAAGCTACGCAATGGAGGATTTGGAAGCCCTTTGCAAGAAATTATCTTTCTGTCTACAAAAAATCAACTCAAATGGAATGGATCTAAGAACGACCTACTCAGGTTTCTGGCCTTGCATTTGGAAGTTCAGCCTAATCAATTTCGCGCTAACGACAACGGAACTTGTGCTGTTTTCAAGATTCAAAACATCACTTGCAACTTCTACTACAAAGCGAAAACTCTACAAATTCAAGGAAAAGAAGATGCAGACAAACTGAGAAAAGATTTAATTAATCTAACTTCAACTTGGGCACACCCGGTTAGCGAAACGTTGAACGCATTCCAAGAGAATCTAGACAACGAGGTTCAAGCGAGGGGTGATAGCCACGGGGCTTGTTTCGCCTGATGATGGCCCTATTACAATAAATGCTGACAACAGCCTTGGAGGGGATTTTGCTAAACCTCCAGTTTCACCCACTGAAGACGACCTAGCCAAAGCTGAAAATTTTATTGATAGCGCATACATGGAAGTCATTTTGGATGCTAACAAATCTTCATATTCAAATCTGGTCAAGGATATCGAAGCTGATCACGACAGTCAATTAACTCAGTTGTCGTTGTTGTTAAAAAAAGTGTCTAACGAACTAAGTGACCTGAAAGCTTCTCATGCAGCTTTACTGGCGGCAAACAATGAAATAACAAATGAATTGACCGCGCTACGAAATGACGTAACCTCTCACCTCCAGACCCAATCACAAAGGTTACCAGAGACAAATGATCTGAAAGATTCTCATGCTGCATTACTGGTCGCTACCAACGAAATAGCCAATGAAGTAATTAATCTTCGAAATGACATAACTTCTCACTTCCACAAACAATCGCATATCTTGTCTGATTCCCAGGGGTGGACAAGTGTCGGTAAAAATAGAAGACCCATAGACATTCAAAATAAATTCAAGGCACTGGAGGTTTCCGATGGTGAAATATCGCCTAAAGCATCAGACGCCAAACCTGATGAAAATTCGCCGCTGATAATCAATGCAGATCGATCAACGCCTATGACCTCGCCCTCTGACAAAGATATTACGAAGACCCTTCAAGTGTACACTGTAACTAGACCTTGCTGTAGTGCCAAAACAATATCTAAAGAGTCAGTGGGACAATACAGCCATTTGAAGAACGTTTCCGATAAAATACATCTTTCGGGTGGTGCCATAGATCCCCTTATTGGCACAGACTTCGTAGAGGCCTTCATTGACATTCACACAGCGTCTGGAGAACCTGGAGTGCCCATCGGGAAAAGAAACTGCTTTGGATGGTACGTTCTGGGACAGTTCAAGTCAAACGGCTCCACCCTATCTGAAATTCAGTCAATAGAAGTAGGGACAGTGAGTGTCGAGGAAGATATCAAGAAACTTCTCCACCAATACCTCCTGGGAGTCAAACCAACCAAACTCTGTACGTGCACTGAAAACATGTTACGTGAAGTCCCTCGCAGCTTCAACTACCTTGGTCGACGGGAGAATACAATTGAAGATGCCTTGGAAAAAAAGAGGGCCTCCAAAACGTGTTTGCAGATTTTTTGTCTAGGAATCCTATTGAATACAAGCAGTCTGCTGCAGAACAGGTAACTGTAAATGTGATGTTTATCGAAGAAGACCAGTTTTTAAATGCGTCCGTGGTTGCTATGGAAACCATGAGAGACCCAGTTCTTGGAAAGGTGTTACAGTTTACTCAGCAGGGTTGGCCCAATAATCTGGAACCAGTGTTCCAACCTTCCTACAGCAAAAGGCTTGAGCTCTCTCATGAAGATGGTATCCTCCTGTGGAACTCGCCAGTTGTTGTACCAGAGTTGTTACAGGCTCTCTTATTGGCCGATTTGCATGCAGAACACCTGGGTATGGTCAAAATGAAACAATTAACTCGAAAATACTTTTGGTGGCCTGGACTTGACAAGCAAATTGAGGAGACAGTTAAATTATGTCCTGCTTGTCAAGAATCTGCTAAATCGCCAGCATCCGCCCCAACTGCTTCATGGTCCTGGCCAGGTGGACCATGGAAACGATTACATGTAGATTTTGCTGGGCCTTATCTTGGCAAGATGTTTTTGGCCTTGTGGATGCTTATTCCAAATTTTTGGAGATAGTACCCATGACTCATGCCACCAGCACCAACACTATTACTGCTTTGAGACACTTTTAGTTACTTTGGTTTACCAGAGCATCTGGTAACAGACAATGGGACTCAGTTTACGAGTGATGAATTCCAGAAATTTCTAAGAGAAAACGACATCCTTCATACTCTCACTGCTCCAGGACATCCTGCTACAAATGGGTTTGCAGAACGCTATGTGGGTGTATTTAAGGATAAACTGGGCAAGATTGGAGATACAGGCGAGTCTGTGCAAACAAAATTAGACAGGTTTTTGTTGACTTACAGGGCTACACCCACCACGTTAGGGAAATCACCCTCAGAATTACTTATGAACAGACAGCGTAGAATTAGATTCAGTGCACTGAGAGCCAAAAGTTCTAAACAGGAAGTAAAGGTTTTTCAATACAACCTTGACAACAAACGCCAGTTTACACCAAACCAAGCAGTTTTTGTGCGTAATTTTGGCAAAGGAGCCAAATGGATTCCAGGAACCATATTTGGAACAGTCAGTCCCCGGAATTTTGAGGTTCAGGTCGGAGACATTATCTGGAAACGACATGAAGAACAATTACGTCCACGATTCATACCTTCCACACTAGGGTCAGAGTTAGTTCGTGCGCCCCAGCTACCTGAGCAAACTGAACGGTTGACCCCAGTAGTGAGGGAAAGGCCTATTACAACACCAACCCTTTCACAGCCTAAAGAGGCTACACTTGTACTTGACACTCCAGCCTTGAATAGCATGGCTGATGCTTTTTCTTCACCACAGGACTCATCTGTGCGAGATTCAGAACTTCAAGCATCAGCGCCTGAGCAAACAGAACGGAGATACCCTCTCAGAGAGCGTAAACCGCCTCAGAGGTTCTACTAGTCTTTAGCAAACTTAAGTGTTCGTGACTTTGGGTCTTGTTCCTATCAGTACATTACTTTGTATTATTATCAGGTTCAGTTTTTCTTTCCATTGCTTTAAGAGGGGGCATTTGTCATATCCCATGAATCCTTATGCGCTTCGTACATGCGCAGTAGGCTCTTCTTGCCATGTGCTTACAGACTTAAAGAAAAATATTGTTGAGTTCTGCGTTTGTTATACAATTTCCTGCTACATTACAAACAACGAATTCCTGGTACATTACACTATCCATCCTAGAAAGTTAGACAATCAGGTGACCGTACCCGACCACCCGACCTTCCGCCCGTCCGCACCACAGGCATACCAATGTTTAATCTCACTCTCTAGCTAGTTTGGGAGCCTGCAACCTGATATTGTACATCCATGTTTTGATGAATTGACAGCTGTCAAAATAGTGTTTCTGCTGACCAGTATCGCCTGACCGTATTGGAGGCTCTGGGGACCCACTGAGTTCGAGTGTTTTTGAAGTTATCCACTGACAAGTTGCTACTTTTCAAATGATCGCAGGCTCAAGTTCAATTTTTTTAAAATGCATATGAAATAAGTTGTGTTCATGAGCCGCACTTATAAAATTTTGATTTCGAACTGACCTCAGATGCGAAAATTCAACCGGCTTTTACATGCAGGGAAGGCAATCGCTTTTGACTTTTCTCAGTGTCACGCGTTGATAACGCTCTAAGTCCAATTTTTGTGTTCTTATTGGTCAATTGGTCTTATTGGTTCATGCGGAAAATTTATGCAGCGTCTGGAAACCTGCTTACTGATAGCTGAAGCTGACAGAGTTGTGTCATCTTGTGATGTTTTAAGGTGGCTCGATACAGCTATTCAAGGCCAATACCTCATAAGTTTGAGCATAAACTATGTCGCCATAAACAAAGTTTTGGAAAAATTGCCACCACAGTTGTATTAGATAAAGATGAAAATTTGTTATGATCAGGGTTAAAATGACATCGGAGTTGTCATAGCAACGAAGTGACGCTATTATGTATTTTACTTACAGAAGTATTTCTCAGCACTGCGAACTGTTCTTCCAAAATCATTCACGGGAGCTTTTTCCTCCAATAGCCGCCTCGATGTTCGTGAAGTTTAAGCGAAATCTGTAAGAGCGTTATCGAGATATTTTGGGATAAAGATTTTGTGGTTAGAAATACGGTAAAAAAATGGATAATCTTGATGTTCGGCTGTTATCTGTAGAAAAGGAAGTACTTTTGACATGCAATTTCACCTCATAGTAGTTTCAATCTTTTTAAAAACGTGCGTGAAAGACCACGGAAATAGCTCCAGCCAATTGCTAGAAAGAAGGATTTGATTAGTATGTATTGAGGCGCTTTTGTTAGCAGTTTTTGAACATTTTGGTCTACTTTAACAGATTAAAGAATAATTTTTAAATAGATTTAAATAGATAATTTTTCGATAGATTTTTTAAAAAATTTAAGATTCTTGAGATCAACATTCCTTTTATATGACCTTTTAGTTCCAAGATTATTGATATATTGTAAGGCAGTAAAATAAAGGCTACAATTCGCCAATATTTTGGCAGAAATTTTGTTTTTACAAGTGTAAGCCTCTCATTTTTCAGGGTATTGTCTCCAAGTTTCATATTTTCGCACATAACAATAGCTAGCATTTTTGCATATGTCAAATGCATTGTTAGCTACTGTTGTTCACGTGAAAATGAAACTTGGAGACAATGCCTTGAATAATGAGAGGCTTTCACTGGTAATGACAAAACTTCCGATAAAAAAGTGACGAATTGTAGCCTTTATTTTACTGCCTTACAATGTATTAATAATCTTGAAACTAAAAGGTCATATACAAGAAGGGTTAATCTCAAGAATCTTAACTTTTTAAAAAAATCTCTCAACCGGATTAAAAATTATTCGCCAATTTGTTAAAGAAGACCAAAATGTTAAAAAAACCGCTAACAAGAGCGCTGCGATACATACTCATAAAACCCTCCTTTGTAGCAATCGGCTAGAGCTATGTCCATGATCTTTCACACGTTTTTAAAAAGATTGAAACTACTATGAGGCAAAATTGCACGTAAAAAGCGCTTTATTTTCTACAGATAACGGCCAAACAACAGTATTGTCCATTTTTACTGTGTTTCTAACCATAAAAACTTCATCCCAAAATATCTCGATAACGTTCTTACACATTTCGCTTAAACTTTACGAACATCGAGGCTGCTATTGGAGGAAAAAGCTCCCGTGAACGATTTTGGAAGAACAGTTCCCAGTGCCAAGAAATACTTCTGTAAGTAAAATACGTAATAGCGTCATTTCGTTGCTATGGCAACTCCAATGTCATTGCAACCCTGATCATAACAAAGTTTCATCTTTATCTAATACAACTGTGGTGGCAATTTTCCAAAACTTTGTTTATGGCAACGTAGTTTATGCCCCTGAAAAACTGTATCGAGCCACCTTAAACTGTCTTTTTCCACTTGATGTACAAAACGAAATACAGCTGCTATCAAGATTGTTCTGTAATTCATGGCTGGTTTGTTTATTGCGCTTTTTGTTAACAAATGCACCGCTTGTGGCATTGGAAATCCGATTTCGGATGGCATCGTTTTAAAAAATGAGCTTACTCACTTGCACTTGCTTGAGGCGTAAGAGGGTTGAAAAGTCTCAAGCGATTCTGGAACACTTGATGACCTTCAGAAGCAGCATCTCGACTGGTAAACCTGAGCAATTATTTTCTTTGATGTGTTTTTTTTTTCAGTTTCCTGAAGTCGAGCGTATGGTTTATGCAGCTTAAGTTTATATGCGAGCAATGATCTACCCTACAATAGTATCAGCTTTAAAAAGCCTTTAGACATTGTTTGACCGCAAATTCAAAGAAAAGGTCCCTAAGAATATTTAGTTCTGATTTTGGTTGTAAACATTAAGCTCTGAGCGATTTTCTTGCCTCGAGTTCATATTGTAAAAGAGCAAACACTGGGAAGCCACCTTAAAACATAAATAAGCTTATGCTTACCTGACTCATGATTTTCAGAGACACTTTACTCTCAATACTTGTCTTCGTGAATGAAAATTATTGTCTCTGTACATGTTTTATCGAATTATATTTATTTTATTGATTGTTAGTAGTCCCTCGCAATTTTTATTGCTGCACCAGTTGTTTCCAGTCCAACATAAAAATTGCATGCAGGAATACTCAAAATGCTGCGCGTAAATTATCACTTGCTTTTAAAGATTACACATAACAAAAACATAAACAGGTTTATAAATAAAGGGAAATAAAACCTAAACATAACAAATTCTCTATCATGTTGAAGGGTAAATGGTAACTCTATTAATCGCACTGCAAATTTGGTGCCTGTCAAAAGTGAGAACCCATCCGGCTGGCCGAAAAGGTGATTTTGGCAAATTTTTATTGTTTTCACTAAAAGCCCATAATTATTACCCTGCATATCACATAGAACCAGTTTTTTCTAACTGAAAAGTCCTGGCATTATGGAATTCTCTTCATGAAAACGTTTTATAATGTGGTCAATGCTATAATTTGTTGTGCAAAAGAAGCGCGTGCTTTGATCACAGGTAACCCAGGCTCACTGTTAGTGTCACGTTCGGATTTCCTAACATGGTTAAATATAGAGAACATATGGGGCGAAGTTTAGGTCTGGAAATTTGCTAGAAAATGGAAATTAAAATCGACGAAACTTACAATGTGGCAAGTTGTTGTTGTCCTTAATGTGTACATAAAGTTTCAAGAAAAATAGTCTGCTTCACCGTTCCTTCATAGTATTTTATTTCGGGGTTGTCCAATTATTAATCTCTCAAACGGAGCAGTGTTGGAGAGACTGGTGAATGCCACATTATGATGCAACAGCTAATGCAAATACAATACACTTTCCAGGCCTAATCTACTGTGATCGAACATGATTGCTATTTTTGGGTGTACAAACAAGACTATTAATTTGATGTAAAATTTGTTTCAGTCTTGGACTGTCAAATTATTTTTCTCTAAAATCACTTAGCCTTTGCTTTAAAAGTCACATCTGTGGATTACAAGTTGATTGTTTGATTTAAATTATGAATTTATTAAAGGGAGCTTCGCTTTTAGCCCTGGCTAAATCTATACATTATTGAGAGCTATTAACATAATTGGTATAGGATGTTTTCTTTAAAAATGCCCTTTAGATTCAGATCAGTGACACTCAGGATGACTTGGGAGATGCACCACCAGCAAAAGTAGCAAGGTGGCCTTTAGTTTTCAGTAAAATATTAGGAAGTGATAATAAAAAATTAAGCCTGTCAAAGGCTCAGTTTCGTGTTAGGAGGAAGAAAACACAGCAGGCTTTAAGACCTATTCATTGCGGAAGTCATCTTTTCTTTCCAGAGAGGGAAAATATTAAAGCAGTAAATGATGGTCTTTGGACAACTTTGATCAATTCAGCAACAGAAGGGAAGATGAAAGAATATATCGAAAATTCCACTAAGTGTATGGAGTTGGTATTGCCAAAAATTCTGGAAAACAAGGTCAATGACTATGACAAAACCAGAAAAATCAATTCCTTCTCGTGCTCCCCTCGTCCCTCTCAAAGTTGTTTATCACGTTTCGGTCACCAAATCTTGTGCACCAACATTGAGGGGACAAGGAGACCCTAAACTGTCCCAACCATTTTGACTGAGACTGTGTTTTAGAGGAATTTTAGGTATGTGACTCCTCGTTGGCTCTAGTGGTGGGAAATCGCTAGGCAGGTATATACACGTTTCAGAGCTATTTTTCTCGGGAAAAACATAAGAGATTTCACAGACAGAAACAGAGAAGACAATCAATACAGGAAAGAAGTCTTTGTTTCTTTTATTACAACATTCCAAGGTATTAAAAAATCTTTGTACGTATTGGGTTTAAAGAGTGAACAACGGATGAGTCAAAGCTACGCAAATTATTTCACAGGCAGTGTTTTTTGCTGCTAATATATTGGACCGGTGGAGACACGATTGAACGGGTCACCATAACGGGTCACCACACTATCCAGGGTGTTTTCTAAGACCTCTGTGGTATATATAATGGATTAAGAAAGAAAAGGATAAGGTTCTTTCACACCTAATTGAAATAGCCAAGGCATGAAAGACAAGTTATTAAGACTTCGATCATGGTGACACGATTGTTCACTGAAAGAAACTTATAAATATCTTAATTGAATTAATATACGGTGACCCGTGTACACGTCAAGTTTTTAGATGTTTTAAGGGTAGGTGTTGTCCCCGTTTGATATGATGCATGTTTTGTACCTCAATTCCCACATTTATGGCAGTAGTTTGTTTTAGAGCTATTCAGGAAGGTGTATATTTGGGGTAAAGAATGAGAACCGATGTCACCATTTGGCGCAAGGCCAAATTAACATACGTTGTAAGCAACTTATAAAAAGTTGCAGCTGACACCCTTTTTACGAGCTTTTAGTCAATAGTATCTTTAGAAATTTAGAAAGCGGGATACTGTTCTCGCTGATACGTCTTGGGAATAATCCCGGCTTGTTGCATTTTCCTTCAAACTGGAGAAAAAGTTTCCCCCTTTCTCTCGAGATCGCTTAATCGCTCTCTCAGCTGTCTTTCGCCTCTTGCCCTTAACTTAGAAAGGCGTCCCTTTGGGCCTTGTTCCTACACTCTTTATTGGCAAAGAGGCCTTCTCTATTATTCTCCACACATTTTCTCTAGAAATGTGGCACATTCGAGCGACTCTCCGTATATGAAAACCCTGAATCTTACACAGATAGTATGCACATGCTATATTGTCACCCTATCAATCGGCCACTTAAAAGCTATTTGTGTACGGTTTAGTGCACACTCAGTTCCTTTTATTTTTCAATACTCTACTCTGCCCAAGAAATTTCTGCGAACTGGTCATTCTTTGTCTTATTTTGTTATGCCCAAATAACTTAGTTCACTGCTATAGAAACGTTCGTGAAACACAATGGAGGCCCAATAAACCAAAAGTCCGTCGCTTGTGACCGACCTACAGATTAACCTCTGGATCTGTCAGCATGCCTTCAAATTCCTCCCCAACACAGTCTCAGACAAAATAGTTGGGACACTTTAACCAAACACCATTTTTTCCTTCTCATGCTCCCCTCGTCCCTCTCAAAGTTGTTTATTGCTGTTTGGTCACCAAATCTTGTGCACCAACATTGAGGGGACAAGGGGACCCCAAACTGTCCCAACCATTTTGACTGAGACTGTAGTTAGTGATAACTAGTTGACAGTTTTTTGTTTGTTTTCATAATACAATATAATACTTTTGGTACCCAGTGACTCAACTGTGACGTGTAGTCATTAATTTCATGCCATGAAGAAAATAAATAGGGTCTTAAAAAAACTGAACTGCCCAATTGCCATCCCAGATATTAGATGAACTATTTTCTAATTTCAAGTCCAGGTGTGAATTAAGTATTAATTTTTTTATGTGCCACTAACATGAAACTTATGTTTTCTCAGTTAATATATGGCGTATAAACATTGTCCAAGTTGAAAATAAAGCATGCATAAAAATTGACAGATTATCTGTATTTTAGAGACAAACATGTCTCTATAAGTCCTATATAACCTGACAATTTTTGTATTATGCACATTTTGTTTCAACAGCATACCTGGTGAGCTTCTTAAATTTACTAAACAGGGTTCAGAGCTGCAATGAAAATCATTTGCTTTTAGGAGCAAATTGTTTTGAAGAACATCCTCTGATGAAAGGTTACACAAAGCTTCTCACTCAAGAAATGGAAAAATTAGAGAATAAAACCTGTACAACTCCCAAGGGTGACCAGGTAAAGTTCAGATTTAAGTTAATTCCCTCAGATATGAAGTGGATTTCAACCTTTTCTGGAGAATTGAACAATGCAGTGACAGATTTGTCACCCTTTGCAAATGTGAATCACACAAACAAGAACACTATTGGTGGCCCTATAGGTGGTAACCATACTACCTTTCAAGAAGAGTTTACAAGATCCACGTGGAAAGCAAAGGAGTAAAGTGACAAAGTTTATCTCTCAAAACAAGTCAAGACAGGAGTTTCCTCCCACTCTTGGAAAATAAGTAGACATCATCAAACCCGAGCCCTTGCATAACACCAATAACGCATGGCAGCAGTGGTTTTCAGCCATCATGAGCGTGGCTATTCAGTATACTCCATGTAATCAGTTAAATGCTGCAACTCTGTTATCAGAACTTCCAAGTTCTTGTGTTCTTATAAAATTCTGCAAGTGTGTTAAAGAAAGCCCGAAGTGTGTTAGACTGTTCAACAGTTTTGTTCAATGGTTTTCTGAGAAGAGGAAAAAAGGGCTGACATTTTCATACAGATTTACTGGTTTGGAGTCAAAAAAATTTAGTTGGAACTTTTGTCTTCTGACCCATGAACTTCTGAGTATCCCTAACCTTACCAACTCTTCAGAAGTCAAACTTCATGCAATGGCATTTCAGGCTTTGTAATTAAGGGAAGCTGCAGCTTTGTACAGCAGGGTAAGGCTACAAGAAGAACAGCTGGCAGAAATGAAAACCTGTTGCAATGAGTACTTCACAACCCAGTGTATATTTCATGATGGGGCAAATCCTACAACCTGGACAATAGGGTATGCAATACCCTACCATGCTGAGCAACTGTTCAAGGAAAGTGGGTATGGACTTGGTTTGAACACAATGCAAGGGCGAGAGGTGAAACATATAAAACTGGCCTGTTATGTGGAAAATACTTGCAATGTTCACAAAAACCAGAGGTGGTGGACAGTATTTCGACATGAGTACATTTCACTGGTATGGCTGAGAGAGCTAGACCCTTATTGTTAGCCATAGCCTAAGAATGTAAATAAATTTGTTTAAATATGTATATTTTCCCAACACAAGGTTATCCTAAGTGAAATGTTTTTGTTAGATTTGTACATTTTTATTATTATAGTCTTTTAAATCCATTTTAACTATAACTTGTATATTACACACGTAATTCAGTCTTCGGACAGCGAGGTGTTTCTTTTTTTAATAAACGATTTATCTATCTATCTATCTATCTACAGTGTCACTTACCGCTGTGAGAAGGGTGAAGTAAGTGATTCCTATGTGCCAAAGAGGGTTGCCACAAAAAATTCTTTGTACTGCTTTTGTGGTCTGCAGAAATCGAGGTCTGAAGATGCATACACCATTTGTAGTAGTAACATAATGCAACTAGTGAGAGAAGTGTGGCTGATGGTAGAGCAAAGCCATCTTTATTAAGCTACATGAACACTTGACATTAAAGCTAAAACAACCAGTAATATACTTAATAGTAACATATCAAATATGAAATGAAACACTGTGTCGAATATCTGATATTGCTTATGAAAAGAAACAACTTTTGACTGAGAAATTAGAAATGCAAAACAGAGCTATGTTTCACTGGCATATCCAAACGCCCATTAAACATTAATTTCCTTTGTATTTTCTTGATGAATTATTAATGAGTTTGAGAAGTCAAGAGAAAGAGGTATATAATGCATTTACTGATAAAACACTGAATTGAATTGCACCCAATCCATAAAAAAATACAAAAAACAAAAACAAACTGTTCCAGTTTCAATGCTGACTGATTCCAAAAGCATTTCAGTACCCGTAATGCAAATTAAATTGTAACATTTCTTCTCAAAATTTGTATGGAGTTTAACCAGCTTGCTGTGATATCGCAAGGGTGGCCCTATGAGACTGTAGTGCCCTAAGTGGGCATAAACTTCAATAATCAGCCTGGTCATAACTACATCTCTTGTTGAAATCTCCCAATAAAATAAATTATTACAAATTTAAACAATAACATGATACATAATGACTGTAATTGGGTCTTTTTGCCATTGTCTGGCTAATGGATTATAAAAATATCAAGTGCTTGCAGAAAATTCTAAGATTGTGGTAACCATGACATTACCCACAGGAAACCTAGCATTGCAAGGACAAACTCTAAAATGGAAATCACTGGGAAGGAGAAAGTGATGGAGGCCAAATAACAGCTGGCTTTGCCATGAGGTAAGTCACGAGACCATCCCCAGCTATTGTTATGTTTCTCAGTTTCTTTGCAAACAATACAATAATTGCAATACATGCAATTATTAGTTACTATGAATCCAACAGTTAGTAAATCAGTAATCTGCATGGAAAATTTGTTTTAGAATCCGACAGTCACTGCAATAATTATTGATAATTATTACCAAGTTAATAATTGATTGTGTTGATACTCATGATAACGAAATTATCTAAGGGGAGTACTCCCTTACATTTGCCTTAAAGGTATTGATCTGATTTAAAATCTAGAGTAAAGATTTGGCCAACCAAACAACACACCCACTAACAATTGCCAGCAATATGCCCCCAGATTGCTTGATTAATCATTGATAGAGGCCGTTTACTGAGCACACAAATATGCCAAACTTCTGGTGGTTCTTGCTCACATTTGCCTTATAGATATTAATCTGAAATAGAGTACACAGTCAGGATTTAGGGAATGAGTTGACACATCCCCACCACAAATTGCTAAGGACACACCTCCGGAGAGAAATTAAAGGTATTTTATAAACTAGGCCAGCCTATGACAAGCCCAGTTACTAATATCATAACACAATCAAGAGAAATAGTTGTGAGAATTCATATCATATATCATAGATTACCATACCCCAAAACGAAAGAAAAATAAAATTTAAACCAAGGGTAAAATTGAACCACAACATATACAGACAAGTCTGGACAATTTGAATGTTGATATTGGGGCTTGAAGGGTTCAACACAATAAAGGAAATAAAAAAGTTTAGTGTCAACTCCGCTTTATTCAGTGCTGTGGGATGCTGCTTGGATTCCAGTATCCGTAATGAAAACTGACTTCCAATAATTCTTTTTTCTTGTGAAATTTAAGCTCCATGGGCTTGTCAGTTGAAGCCAATACCTCAGATCTCTCAAGGTTGTTACTTGAAGTTGACATATGCTTTTTTAAAATATCAGCAGGGTCGACCTCGAAGCCATCCAAATCCATTCTCCCGAATAGATACTTTGCTTTTCGTAGATCTGATATCTCAAAGATGATCTCAGTATTCGTTTCCCTGTAGCGTTGGCCAAAGCTTGTGTGCTGCAATATGTCTTGAGAAATACTTTCAAACCACTCCAGCGGTATATCCATTTTAAGTTCCCCACGCCATGGATAGGCAAGTCTAGGTCTTGTGTGCAGCGGACGAATAACTTTGCCATGCATCTTCCTTAGGGATCTAGCAACAATTCTTCTCGATGGCATCAGTCTTTGCACCTTTGAAAATCTTCCTTCGCGATCACTGTATTTTCTATCGAACACAGCTACAGCATCCTCAAGCTCTCTGAAAAAATTACTAACCCATCCTATATCATCACCATTTTTAGCGCTTTTTAAAATATCCCATTTACAATGCTGAATTGGTTGTTGAAGGACTTCAGAAAATTGCAAACGGGCCGCCATATTGGATTTTACCCGAACAACATTGCACGTCCTTGATAAGCCCTTTGAGGGGTGGTTTGGCCCCCCCGTGGGAAATGCCTCGAAGTACAATGACATTATGATTCCATCTTCTCATCATGTTTGTTTTTATTACGAGTCTTCCCAAACCGAATTTAAGAAAACGATCGAGAGCTCTGCATGGTGGCGCACTGATTTGTTATGACCCGAGCAAGAATCTCAACTGTTTGGGATAAATGGCCACAAGCGTGATGTTTTTAATTGACACCAATGATAAAATTAACTAATTAACATCTCTTCAGGCAAGGTGGGGACAAAATTACGCCACAAGCCACAAGAATGTGGCAACCCCACCAAGACGCGAGCTGAGCTCTCAAGAAGGAAAACCAATAAATTAAGTTGGTTTCAGTACTTAAAAGTATAGTCACCTACAAAAACAAAAACAGGCATTGGAGTAGCAGCCCAGTGAAACTGGCCTACTAGAATACTCGAACGATAATGGCGAAAATTAACACTTTGTAATAAGGGACCGGTCATTATTTATCAGGAGAGGGGGCTGGTGCAAATAGGGGGTGGGCCACCATTTTTTATGCATGGCTTAAAGGAGGGGCCATTAAAAAATATGTAAACGTTTTGCCAGCAAAAATGTTAAAAAGCTGCATCTGGATGCCATCAACAAATACAGCCTATTAAAATAGCTTTATACAACAACTTTTATTAACACTTACAAATTAGTATCTTACAACAATGATCTTATTTCTACTGTAAACATAACCAGCACCATCATCATTGTTGTTGTCCTCAGCATTTAATAATCATCATAGCCATCATCACCATTACCATTGTTGTCATCATCAGCATTGTCATCATTGTCTGCATCATCATCAATATCATCGTTGTCTTTATCATCATCATCATCATTATTACTGTCATCATCAAGGGCATTATCTGGTTCTAGGTTAGTGTTTTCTTTTCTTGGAAAATTGTCAACATATTCACTAATCAAGTCTACAGCTTCAGTAGACAGTTGTCTATCTTCAGACGTAAGTTGTTGATATTTTACTTGACACAATGATAATGTAGATAGATCTTCCAATTTTAGGTTTTGGATTTGAATTACTTCAGATGCAGAAGCATTCGAAATAAACTCTCACACTTTCTGTATGTTGGCAGCTTTTCTCGAAACTTTCCTTCTTTTGGCTTTCCTTCGGTTCTCGTTCTAAGAACGCTTTTTGGTTTTTGCATTCAAATGGGGGGCATATTGGAACATATTTGATGTCTTCTCTAACTTTTCCTTAAGGCTTTCTTTTATTTCTATCACCCTTTCTTTAACTTTTATAAGTTTGCCAATAAGTTTTTCATCAAATGTTTTTGGGTGGTTGTGCCCTGGAAGCAGTTTCCCTGCTTTGGAGAAATGAGTACAAAGATGTTTTTTTACATCTTCCTCCTGCTTCTGCATGGATGTCTTAATATCTTGAACCATTTTCAAGTTGTTTTCCAATATAGGTAGGTCAGAGCGCGTAAATACGTAATCTTCACTGAAATATTTGCCTGCAACAGCAGGATTGTTAGGGTCCATAACAACATCAATTCTCTTCTCAAGCCTCTCAACCCCACAATCTGCATCATAGTGAGAACATAGTGAGAGTGGAGAAATGTACATGAAGTTTTTAAAAGGATCTTGCGAAAAGGAAAAGAGTGAAAGGTGTGAATATTGTGTTTCCAATGACTTTTGCTACTCTGTTGACATAAAACATATTCCCAAGCCATATCCTGATGCCCGAAGACCTGGTCTCTGTTATCTTGCTACGAAAGACACCCCAACTGTTGGCTGAAGTGGTGATGATTTCCACCCAAGGGTTCAGCTTAAGGCAATTTTCAGAGAAGATAACTCATTTTTTGACAATCCTGGCATCACAGATTTCTCGCAGAAATACGTGGTTACTGAAGACGCCATCAAGATGTATGTCAATCACATGAAACTTCTATCCTTAAGGAAAGAAAAAAGATCAGAATATAAGGCAGAGCAACGTGAAGAAGAAGCTAGAAAGACATACAAAGACTATGACTGGGAAGGAATGTTTCATGAGAGGAGCCTTTCACAATTAAAAGTAGTCGAGTTAGATAAGTACATAGCACACCATAACCTTGGAAAATATGGAACAAAAAAAGCAAAGTTGGAAGTAATTAAAGAAAATGTCATCCAAGAAGTTGCTAAAAGCATTGAGAGAGAGGAGGATGGGAAGAGCAACAATCAGTCGTCTTCTGATTCACTCAGAAGGGAATCAGAAGACAACTCAGAGGAAGAAGACTGTGTCCTTGCAGAGATTGGTATTTCAAGCTCTGAAAAGGAAGAGGAGTCGACTGAACAAGAAGAAATGATTGAGAGCACCAAGAACTTTAATGTCAATACGACAATTGTCTTCACACGCCTGGGCAAAGAGCAACTTGAATCCAAATTTAAGGTAGCTTTAAATAGAATGTCTATCAGTTGGACATGGTGATTTGATAAATACATACTTCTAGGCGATCTGGTGACGTTATGGCGGTGGGCTGGGGAGAAAAATTTTAATGCCGTATCCCATGAAACAGCGCGTGCGCATTCGCAAGTTTTGTTTTTGTCTACCATGTCTGTCAAATGTAGTGCGAGTATTGTTCATCGAAGAATTTTGGGTTCTTTCCAACCTTATTCCGCGCATAGAACTCTAAATGGTACCAGAAATATAGGAAGTATTTATATGAACGGATGAAAAGTCTCATGGAGCAGCAGGTTGGTTTTAAACTCAAAAGAAAGAGATGTGTGAAAAGTGCAATTTCGAATCATGGATTCCAACTTGTAAGCATGAAGATAATTTCTCACCTTGTTTTGTACTGTTATGTTCTATTAACGGTATTTATTGTATGTTTAGGTAGTATTAAAGATATCGTGTTAATCGTTGTTTCTTGTGTGTCGCTGTTTAGTCAGATTTTTTTTATATTCTGATTGTGTTAGCGAACACAAGGAAAGTTGAGTTTGATCAAACGCTCGCTCAACTCAATCTACTTTGTCGCAGGTGGCACATTTTTGGTGGGTTTTTCAAAGCAGTGTTGCAAACTATGCCATTTAAAAACCCTTTTGATGTTTGGTCGCTAAATTGCAAATACAGTACAGCCCGAGCATGGCTTTTGTACTACAGGAAAAAGAAAATGTTGTTCAACTTTAGACGCTCATCTGCTTGCATTGTCCATCTCCGAACTGCGCAAAATTTTATAAAACCAAAAAAAGTTTAAATGAGCACTTTCCGCTGTATCTGACACATAAACCGGAATCTTTAAATAATTCACACAAGCGAATTTCAACAAAGGAGATAAGCGAGACGTTTTTAAGCGGAGAACAGCCTTATTCGAGGAGACAAAGAGTTCGTGAGCCGATGTTACATTTGACTGATGAAGAAATTTCAGAATAATTCACTCTTCCCAGAGTCACCAAAGTTGTGCCGCGTGTTGACTTTTTTTTACAAGGAAGCTCCTCCTCTGGGGAAGTATTTCAGAAGTTGGTCACTTTTGGAGAGCAAATTTGTCTCCGTTTTCCGGAACTTGTAACTTTCTTTTACTCAGGGACATCCTTACCTTGTACCTTGCAAAACCCGAAGCAGAAATTTATTGACTTTGTTCTCGACAACAAAAGTAATTGTTGTGAATGGTTGTTGAAACAAGACAATGGATCCCTTTTTCGAGGATTCCCCATGCCATTGGTTTTTAAAACCTATTATCCTGCCTTCAAAGATTTTTCTTGTGGTATTGTTGGCGAATTTGGCATTAACCAAAAAGACACACACGACGTTTTAAGAAACAAGTGGGGGGAAAAGCTGGAAAAAGTCCTGGGAATCAACCCTATTCTCAGCAAGGAAGACATTTTCGGTAAACTCAGTGATACACTCAAGAATCACTTGAAAAGGTTGGGTTAAAATTTGACGAATTTGGCGAGGTAGCTGTGGGCTATGTTGATGTTGAAAAATACATAACACTTTTTCTTCGTCAAGCAGGTGTGCAAAGTGCTATAACAGCACCAAATGACACTATTATTATTATGGATTACACTGATAGTTTCCCCTGGCTGAAATGATCTCGCCATTTCACTGGAGAGACCAGTGTCCGAGTGAAGATTATTGAGCCTTATAATTTACTGAGCACAGTGTTGACGGTTGCTTTGTGGTTGGGAGGTGATGATTATGACACAGTGAAAAAATGTGCAGGGGCAGTTTTTGATCAGCTGAAAGAACTGGAAACAATTAAACATCCATTAAGTGGGGAGGAAATTAAAATTGTCCGCAGGAGCTGTGGTGATGGTTTAAAGGAAAGGAGGTCTTCAATGGGTAATTCTTCTGCAAAATCCTCGTACCCAATCCCTGAAGCCCCAGAACACCAAAGTCAGTTGGGAGATATGAAACTAGAGGCCCGTTTACACGTTAAAAGAGAAGAAACGGCTCGGTTAGAAACAAGTACCGGTTCCAGACGAAATCTCCTGTTTACACGTACAAATTCTGTAATGTGCCCGACAGAAAAAGGCACGGTACGTGAGAGCCCCTTGGAACGGGTACTAGACTGTTTACACGTTGTTTTCTTCGAGACCGGTAACGATAGAGCCCGCGATAATTAAATAAAACTGCTTCGATTAGTTGTTCATATGCTCTTATACATACAGTAGACTGTGCGTATCTCCGACAATCATGGATGCAGGTTTACAAGCACTTTTCTGGTTTCTTCTAAAGAAGAGAACACGAAATTCACGTTTGACAGCGCGTGCGATTCGTCAAAGTTCTTCTGAGAAAATGTACCGAATTAGGAGAAAAACAAGGCTTACGGTTCTCCTATTAACAGCCCTTGTATCGCACTTCACAGTCGAAAGGAGCTTCTGGCAAATTCCAAGAACAAGCGCTTGGTTTGATCTTACATACAGCACTTACTCTGACGACCAGTGGTATG